AATAGCCTGAGGAATGTATTAGGCAATACTCATTCTAAACCCTGCAAGGATAATGGCTGGAAGTTGAAAGCAAATTAGAGTGTGAAGAGTACGGACAAGAGCAATCCGCTGATGTATTAGTTTATGTGTCACTTCTGATTGTTTGGTGTAGAACCATATTAGCTATCTGTCTGTCTGTCTATCTATCTATCTATCTATCTATCTATCATCTATCTATCTATCTATTTGCATATGTATATAAGTATATACATATGTGATTGCCATACCATTCTTCTGAATATCACAAGGAGTTAAAACCAGCTGGATTTAAGCCTACTGTATTTGTATTGCTACATGCCCTACTTTGAATTTCTCAGTGGCTCTGATAGTTCTCCCGTGAGATGATTTCGGATATATCCAAAAGCATACTCTGAATGATTATGATACTTTTAAGAATTCATCCTATTAGCAGTCTAGCTTCTGGTAATATACCCCCTATGCTACAACCATCCATTTTTATTAAACTGACATTACTCAGTGAAATCTGAGCAAAGGATGCTAGCTTAAAGATCAACTGAGTCCATTGCCTCCAAATTTTGTAAGGGTCCATCCTCAGTTTTGCTTGTTCTGTCTAAACTATTAGATTCTCAAGGCGAGTTGCACCAATGCATAGGAAATGGGTATGTATGTATTTTAGTCTTTCATGTGAATTCTTATTTGTTCTGTAGAGCGGTGAGTGTAGTTGCAGGTAATTGGCAAAATAGTAAATTAGGAACAATGTACAGTCAACCATACACTGTAGCTCTATTATTATAATGGGCTTGAGAGTGTTAGTGGCTTAATTACAAATGGCATTTTATGGTTGAAGACATATGCGCCTCCTCTTCTTGGGGGCCAGGTGATCCGTAGCTGTAGCATTTCTGCTCATCACTTTTCATCTCATTCACAATGCATATATATCCATTTATTGTGTGCAATTTTCCCCTTAGAAATTCATAAACTATGGGAGAGGAGGGATTTTTGAGTGTTTAAGTGATTGAGCCACAAGATAAGGACCTAAAAATACCGGTTGAATGAGTGAATGGGAAAGACTGCATATTGGCATGAGGTGACTCTATCCAGTATTATAGGAATAATTTGAGCAAAAACATTAAACTCAATTCTGGGGCTAGTGAAGAAGTTGGGATTCCATTATTTCCTTTGCTAAATTATAAATTTAGGAGGTGAGAAAAATGGACAGGGCTGAGGAGATAGCTGGGCAGTCTAAGTGCCTGCTGGCAAATGCAAGGACCTGGGTTCAATCCCCAGTGCTACATGCTGTGCTGGCCCTGGAAACCTGGAAATGCCATGTTGGCCACCAAAACCAGGTGTGGTGATGTATGCCTGTAATCCAGGTTCTGGGGAAGCTGAGACAGGAGGATCATTATGAGTCTAAGCTGCATAGCTAGACCCTGTACCAAATAAATGAATAAATAAATAAATAAGAAAAATGACAGACACCAACTAGCAAAATGTACCACTCTTGATTGGATGCCTTTGTGCTTTTTCTCCTTGGCCAAGTCTTTTCTGTCAAAAATTCTTTTCCCTTGATTCATTTTTTGACCCGGATAATCCTGATCACAAAATTACTATAAATGGTAATTTCTTCATGAAGTATTAGAAGACCTGGCATGTTAGAGTCACTACATTTTTTTTTTTTTTACAGCTTAGTGATAGGAGACAAAGAAAAGAAGTCTGCATGTGCTCAGCACAGGTGTAGTGTTTTGTCCTGCATATTTCTGAGCAGATCTTAGCTGCCTCCCTACACGCCCCGCAGAATTCTGGCCATCACAGCAGTAGGAATCATGGCTGGCTGTGTGGGTCCGATGCTCCTGTTCTCATAGTGGATAGCTCCAGACACAGAAGCGTGGAGCTTTTGTCACTCTATAGTCGAGACTTTATGGTGCTCACTTCTGAGATGGCAGTGAAGTAGAGAGAAGTGGCTGAGAAGGACCCAGAAGGAAAGGAGGGGGGACAGAAAGGAGGAGAGAAATGAAGTGTGCTTCACAGGTGCTGTCTGGCTGCTTATTTTAATCAAGAAAGAGCAGGTAGCTGAGGAAAGCTTTGGATGCCACAGGGGGTCTCCCAGAGGATTTTACATCACTAGTGAAATCCTGTCCTGCTGTGAGCACTGTGTGTCAGGCTGTGTGCTCAGCGTGAAGGCCACATAGTGAACTGAGGGAGGAAGGGCTCGTCCCCGCCAAGCTTGGGTTTCAGAGAATGAGACGGAAAAGGGACAAATAGAGTACACTGTATGCAGCAAAGGAATATATATCATAACAAAAAACCCAGAAAATACATATAAAACATATGAATTTTATGGCTATGTAATAGAACATGGGATATGGAGCTCTTTGAAATGAGCAGGCACCAGGAGAGAGTGCCAAGCAGTGCTTCTTAGTGCTTCTTCGATTCTTTCTGCATTACACGCTGTATGCTGTGTCCTGGAATGGAAAATACAAAATGAATCACTCCAAGAGGGACGCTTACAACTGACATGCAGAGGGGCAGTTTGTATAGAGCACAAGGGTCCCCTCTCCCAGTTGTGTGTGTGAGCGTGGGCCTCTGAAGGGACCCTTAGAAGTTTGGAGGGTGCCCAGTGTACAGACCTTCTTCACATACATCTGGGCAAGACCCCAGGCTTGTGAAGAAGACGGCTTGAGAGACCAAAACCAGTGCCGCTGTCCCTTCAGTGTCTGAGAGAGGTGGGCTCAGAACCTTACACCCCGTCCCAAAATCCACAGGGGCTCAAACCTCTCGTGTGCAGTGAGGTAGCATTTGCATTGCAAAAACACACATCCATCTACGAAGTTTCTATCATCTCTAAATGGCATATGATGCTCAATACAATGGAATGTCTATGTAAGCTCTTGCAGTACTATATTGTTTAGTGAGTAACAATATAGTAACAATAACAAATGTCTGTGCATGTTCAGTCCAGATGCAGTTTTTTTTTTCTTGGGTATTTTAGATCCATGTGTGGTATCCAGAACAAAGACAGCTGACTGTGCACTTCCCTAGACCCCCAGATCAACATAATGTAATTCTGTTTTGCTTTGCAAAGTCTTGATTATCTTGGAATTATTTACTCATTGGTTATTTTGGAAGGCAGATAATTTGAATTAGATATTGAACTGGAAAGCTTCTAGGATATGTGTCCTGTCCAGGACCAGTGCTGAAGAGCAATGTGATAACTAATAGGCTACCATTTTTGCTTTTAGTTGGGTGTATATTTTGCCAGTGTAGGGAAAATGTGCTTAGAGTGCCACAGTGCTTTGTGGTAGAAACAAACACAGTGAAAATGAATGAGGTGGCAGGGCTCTGCCACTGTAGTGCATAAGACATGGATCATATACCCCAAGATTCATATCAGTCTAGTAATTGTTAACAGGTAAAATAACAAGAGTGAATTCCAATTACTTTTTCTTTATTGAGTACTCAAGGTAAAGCAGGGTTTTGGTCCTTATGTTTATGACACTGGTAAATCAGGGACTTACAGCAAAAATGTGCGAATCCAGAAATTGAAATTAAACCTGGGTTTATATCAAGTGTCCTTTACTCTTGGAAAAGGAGCTGCTGTTTGGATTGCTTTTGAACTTAAACAGACTGTGGAGTATCCCAGTGTACCAGTTAGCCCTTGTGTCTAGATGTGCCCCCCAAGCTCCATGCAGTCATTGGTGGGTCTTTGCCAGAGTTGGTTGAATCTAGAGCATGTGACTGATTCATGGTGCAATGTTGGGATTAAGGGTGGGTGATTAATTTGGCATCGTCCTAATCCCAGGATCCTGGATACGATCCATGGACATAAAAAGGCTTGCTCTTTGTTTGATTTGCTGCCTTCTGCCCCTCATGAGTTCTCTTTCCTCTTTGATACTCACTGCCTTGCCACTCTGCCTTGGAGCTTGTATGGGGTGAAACCTCCACAAACCGTGAGCCAAACTTTCCTCCCTGAACTTTAGGTGTTGAGTATTTTGTCTGAGCGTTGAGAAAAATAATGAAGGCAGCCTGATGTGTTTTCACCTTTTGCTGTGAGCTATATGCCTGAAGTTGCTGTTTTCACTCCATGGTGCTTTCTTTCTTTTGCAGTCTTTGAGGCAATTTGAGTTATCGTCAGAATAGGGTACATTTTGCTGAATGCAAATTACTAGCAACAGACATATACATTTCAGTCTGCAGGAAGAATGAAACTAGATTTAGAAAATTGATAGCAGACCCTTTTCTCTATTACAAAGTCAAACCTCATGCTACAGTTTGGATAAAGAGATAAGGATACAATAAATGGGAAATGTGAAGTGAGAAATTCAGGGATGGGGTGTTCAGTTTGCTGATGTGTATTGTATAAAATTTCTGGCTAAATCATTTATACCTTCCCTGCATATTACTTAGGCTGGCATAAAGAAAAGACCAATAAGAAGCCCTCTCTTTTTTTCTCTTTCCCTTCTTTTCTCTTTCCTTCCTTCCTTCCTTCCTTCCTTCCTTCCTTCCTTCCTTCCTTCCTTCCTTCCTTCTGTTTTTCCTCTTTTCATTCTACTATCAACATGACAATTTCACTATTGGTTTTCATCCTGAGGTCACCACTGCAGAATTCTTAAGACAGCCGCATGATGAGATTAATGAAATACACGTCGATAAATAGAACGTGAACTCTACTCATCATCATAATCCAAAACTGTCCATGTCTTGAGTATAGCCTCAAATAGTTTGGCTTAAGTTTTTGTTATTATTTTAAAGTTTGCATTGGATAATTTTCTCATTAATTTTTTAGCAACAGAAAGATAGGGTGAACTTGTTTTTTGAATCACCTTTTCTGACCTTTCGTAAGTTGATAATTACAAAAACGAGAGGCCTGGAAAACTTGTAAAAAGTGTAAGCTTATAAAGTAGCTAAAATGGTCCTTCTGTGCTGGTGTCGATTTCAAAATTAACATTTTGGTTCATGTGCTTCTAATAATCACTGACCCTTACCTCGTGTACTTTCCACAGGAAATGAATACAGCAGAAATTACTTTGACCCACCGATGGATGAGGAAATAAACCCAAGGCAGTGTGGGATGGAGGTCAGCAGCCAGGGTGAGCTAGAATTAAGTATGTAATTTTTGTGTCAGAATATTCTTTTCCATTCATGAAAATGAGGTGACAAAGATCACACGTGCAGTTCCGCTTAGACTTTGCAGCTTACAATTTAAATGGTGAGCTTGAACCAGCAACAACACGATGGGCAGTGAAGGTAATTTTTGATCAAGGACAGCAAGCTGGTGAGGAGGAAGCAGCATCAGTCTGCTTTCATCTGAGGCTGCTGTGTGTGAGAAGTTTGGGCCGTTATAAGACCCATGCCACGCATCTGAGGGGCAGCATTTTGCAAATGCATCTCTGCCCTTCCAATTGAAAATGAGCATTCGTCAGTGAAAAGCATTAAGCACATGAGATTTCCATTCACCGTGACGACTGAATTCTTTCCATTCAGTGTGCAAAACCACCCTCTAACCTTTGAGCCACAGAGGTGCAGAGATGATAAGAATATTCTTTCCTATAATCTTGAATCTAGGTATGGTTGTAAAATTACAATTCAGAATTGCCCCTTAAGTGCATACCTCTGTGCAGATTTTGTAGTTTACAAAGTATTCCGGGGTTTACAGAGGTTATTGATGATAGGATGACACCAGTAAATGTCCTTTATTCACATTCAGAAGATCGTATTCCAGTCCTAGGCACTAGTAATCGAAGCTGCACGTTTTAATAAGAGACTGGGCTCAAGTTCCACAAATAAAGGGGCTCAGATATGGTGTAGAGATTATTTTATGAAGCAGTTCTGAGTAAACTAAACATTTTTAATGAGGTGGCATTCAGGACATTATCGAAGGATACATGTGCAAAATAGGACAAAGATTTAGTGTTAGGAACGGTTTTCACCAGTTGATGAAACACTGAATTTGAAATTGGTAAGTCTCCACCGTTTTCTTTTTGCTTATAAACACTTGAAGGGTGAGAGATGTTCCAGTGACTTCGGGGGAGAGGCATCAACCAAATCAACAGCTGATGCTTGTCTTTAATTTTTTAGAGAGCGCAGTAATGCAGGTGTGGTTGGTAGAATTTCTGTAGTGCATGGACTTTCTAATTTTTGAAAGCTATTTTAATAAGTTGTGTTGGCTGAATAAAAAATGACTGTAACTACAGACAGGCAAGGTTCCTTCAGGCAGGTTTGCAAATTCCTTACCTGAAAATACTGAGGACCAGGCTTGATTCAGGTTCTGTATATATTTTTGAAATTTGAGAATATTGGCATATGCATTAGGATACATCTTGGGAAAAGTTAAGTCAGGCTAAATGTGATATTCTTTTATGTTTTATATGCACCAAATACACATAGCCTGGAGGTAATTTTGTATAATATTTTAAAGAATATTGTACAGTATTTTAAACATTTCCTGTTCATGGTGGGAATTTTCCATTTGCACTATCAGGGTGACAATCCAAAGTTCTAGATTTTGACATACTTAGAATTCTGCATTTTTGGCCAGTCAAATAGCTCAGTGGATGAAAGAGCCTGCAAGCAGGTGCAGGGTCTGGGAGTACTATCCTTAGGCCTGCCGTGCCGGCCCCGCCCCCGGGGCACACTGAGATGGCAATTGAGACTGGGCATGGTGGCGCGCACCTGTAATCCCAGCTGTTGGGAGGCTGTAAACAGGCGGATCACTATGAGTCCGAACTAGTAGTGAGACCCTGAACACCCTGTAGACCCTTCCCTAAAATACAAAATAGAAAGGAAGGAAGGAAGGAAGGAAGGAAGGAAGGAAG